CATAAACCGGCACCACGTTGGTTTGTGTCTTTGTTACGGGCAACAGTTTTTGGCGACACCAGATTGGGACTCCGGGGGTAGCTGGGGCGGCTCACGAGCTGATCCACTCCATGCCGGCAACCAGGTGATTTCTGGGGAGACATCGACCCGTGCCCGACCCCGCGCCCGCCGGACAACCATCCAGGTAAGCCCGAGGTGCTTTATTCTTTTAGGTTTGTTGGTTGGGAGCCTGCCTATAAGACGGGACCGTGAGTTTCCCGCTGGGTTGGGCTAAAAGGTACCTTGGTTGGGAAGCCTAGGCGCTGGTCGTAAGACGCAGCGAAAGCCGCGCTGTACCAGCACTCGCCACTCAGAGGGAGAATTGGCGAGTTGGTTTTGGTTTTGGTTTTGGTTTTGGAATAAGTAATTGGTTTATATCGTTGTGTTATTGTAAATTTGATTTTGAATCCAGACTGTGGTGTGTGTGTGTGTGTGAGTGTGTGAGTCAGTATGATGCCGTTTAAAACCTTTAGGGTACTGTCTTGTGTAGAAAATAATATCCCTAGCGATTCTCCGCTTGGTTGCTTATTAAAACACTGGAAGGAAGGAAATTTCGGACAAGAGTTAAGCAAGAAACAATTGATTGATTATTGTAATAATGTATGGCCTCAATATGAGACAGAAGGAATGCAGTGGCCGAGGAATGGTACTTTGACTTCAGAAATTATAACCCCCTTAATGCAATATTTACGAGAGAATGAGATGTGGGATGAAATACCGTATCTAGATTTGTTTTATTATTTAAAACAAAAGACAGAATGGCAAAAGGAATGTGGTATGTTGATTGTGAAAGAACTGGATGATAAATGCATGGGATGTCAAGAGCGGAAAATACGGTTTTCAGAACCAGAGGAGGATGTGTCTTTGTTAGTCTCCCCTGGCATAACTCCAAGCGCGCCTCCGGGAGATAGCCTTCCTTCACGCGTGAGGGCACGATCACCCAGCATGCCCCCGTTAGAATCGTCCTCGGATGAGGAGGAAACGAGGGGGCGAGAATGTGGTTTTGATAGAACTCCGCTAGCAGAACGGACTCGGAAGGGGCGAAAAGAAAGGGGAAGGAGTCGAGAAAGGAGACGGGGAAGGAGAGGGGAGACTGACGTTTCACCTTCACCCCCCCGCTTAATGGCTCCTTTGCGGGAAGCAGTTGCGGACGGGGGAAAGGTTATGGTAAAAGTTCCTTTTTCAGCTAATGATTTATTAATCTGGAAACAGTCAGCTGGAACGTATAGAGAAAATCCGGAACGGGTGGCTCGTATTATAAAAATGGTTATAAAAACCCAAAACCCGGACTGGAATGATTTACAGGTATTGTTAGATACAATTCTAGATTCAACAGAAAAAGAAATGGTATTAAGGGTAATGGTGGAAAGAGCGAGGGAAAGAATTCGAACTTTGCCCCGGTCAGCGCGGGGAACGGTAAATGATTTTGTGCCGCGGGAGGATCCGGAGTGGGATCCTAATGTGTCTGGAGATTATAAAAAGTTAAGAATTTACCAGGAACTATTGATAGAGGGAGTACGAAGTGGGATACCAAAAACGCTAAACTGGTCAAAATTGTATTCAGTAAGGCAGGATAAGGGGGAGTCTCCCTCCGCCTTTTTAGAGAGGATAAAGGAGACAGCTCGGAAATATACGGATTTGGATGTTGAGGATGAATCAGGAAAAATGCAATTAGCATTTATCTTTATAGGACAATCACAAGAAGATATTAGGAAAAAACTTCAGAAGTTAAAAGGAGAAGAGTCAAGAAATTTGGAAAAATTATTAGAGGTGGCATGGACAGTGTACAATAATAGAGAAAAGGAAACTACTAAGAAACAGCAGGCAAGTTTGTTAGCACTCCTGCATGCTTCAGGAGGGAACAATGGGATCAGTAACCATAGAGGAAGAGGCCGTGGTAATCGGGGAAAGGGGGGAATGGGTAGAGGTAGTAATAACCAACTCGGATTTGGAAATCAGAATGGAGGAGGACGTGGTAGAATAGGACTAAATCAATGTGCTCTTTGTAAAGGACAGGGACATTGGAAAAATGAGTGCCCATTAAATCCTGGAAATGGAATGAATCCGTGGAATCCTCAGGGCTTCCCGAGTGTGCAGAATCCTGTAAATGCAGGGACGCCACAAGGTGTCGCCCAAGCATTTATGATGGGAAATTATCAAAGTGACAGCTGACTAGACCAGGACCTGAAGGTCATTTTGGAAGTGGGGGGAGAACCAACAGAATTCAGAATAGATACAGGGGCTAGTTTTTCAGCAATGAATAAATTATTGGGACCATTAAGTGATTTAACTACAAGGGTGATTGGGGTTTCTGGGCAAATAGAAGAAAAGACATTCTTGCAACCACTAGATATTAAATTTAGGGGAAAGGAATTGGATCATCAGTTTCTCTATATGCCCAATAGTCCCGAATGTTTGTTGGGGAGAGACTTACTCTCAGCATTACAGGCACAAATAATTTTCGAAAATGGAAGGGTAAAATTAATAATCCCAGAAAAGAATTTGGCAAAAATTTTTGTGGTAAAAGAAGTGGAAAAGGGAGAAATACCTCCAGAAATTGAACAAGCAGTAGTACCGTGGGTATGGGAAACAGGGGTCCCAGGAAAATCTAAAGCAGCTACCCCAGTTAGAATAGAACTGAAGGAAGGGGTACAACCCGTTAGGGTGAAGCAATATCCGATTAGTCTAGAAGCCCGGAAAGGAATAGCCCCCATGATTACGCAGTTTCTAATTTTAGGAATACTAAAGGAATGTGAATCGGAATTTAACACTCCTATTTTTCCAGTTAGAAAACCTAATGGTAAGTATAGGTTAGTACAAGACCTGAGAGCAGTAAACTCCATCACAAAGGACATCCACCCAGTTGTAGCTAACCCTTACACTTTGTTAACATCTGTTTCTGAGAAATTTCAGTGGTTTACAGTAATTGACCTAAAGGATGCCTTCTTCTGCATACCACTGGCACCAGAGAGTTGGAGGATTTTCGCCTTTGAATGGGAAAACCCAGAGACTGGACGGAAGCGACAGCTTACTTGGACCCGATTACCACAAGGATTCAAATGTTCACCTACAATATTTGGTAATCAGTTAGCAAAAGAACTTGAAGAATGGAAAACTACTCAGGTAAAAGAATCTCCTTTTTCATATATAGTATTGCAATACGTAGATGACATCTTTTTAGGAACTACAGAACAGGGACTCTGTCGTCAGTTAACCATTGAACTGTTAAACATGCTGGGGCAAGCAGGCTACCGAGTTTCAAAAGAAAAAGCACAATTAGTGAAACAGAAAGTTATCTACCTGGGATGTGAAATCTCACAAGGGGTCCGGCGTTTGGGGACTAATCGAATCCAAGCAATATGTGCTATCCCTGTGCCCCGAAATAACCAAGAACTGAGATCTTTTCTAGGGATGGTCGGGTGGTGCAGACTGTGGATTCCTAACTTTGGACTGACTGCTCGGCCGTTGTACGAAGCAGTAAAGGAGCCCAAGCTGACCTGGGGGACGAAGCAAGAAAGAGCTTTCCAGGAACTGAAAAGAGCCCTCCAGGAAGCACCGGCCCTGGGACTACCAGACCTAACCAAGGAATTTCAACTCTACGTCTGTGAGAGACAACGAATGGCTCTAGGAGTACTCACTCAGCGGCTAGGATCCTGGAAGAGACCGGTTGGGTATTTCTCCAAACGGCTAGACGCAGTAAGTGGGGGCTGGCCTGGATGCCTCAGAGCGGTAGCAGCCACAGTTATTTTGATTCAGGAAGCACGCAAATTAACTTTGGGAAAACATATGATTGTATATGTGCCTCACATGGTTATAGCTGTTTTGGAGCAGAAGGGGGGATATTGGTTATCCTCCAGCCGGATGTTGCAATATCAGGCCTTGTTGAGAGAACAGGATGATATTGAATTGAAAGTCACTAATCATCTCAACCCAGCAGAATTCCTTAGGTCTACACAGGAAGAAGGTACCCTGGAACATGACTGTGTAGAGACCATTGAACAAGTCTACGCGAGCAGAAAAGACTTGAAAGACGAGCCATTGACAGATCCTGACTGGGAGTTGTATACCGATGGATCTAGCTTTGTGGAAAATGGTACCAGGTATGCTGGATATGCAGTAGTTACCCTACAGCAAACGGTTGAAGCAAATGCCCTGCCTCCAGGTACGTCTGCCCAGAAAGCCGAAATATGGGCATTGGTAAGAGCATTGATATTAAGTCAGGGAAAGAGGGTCAATATATGGACTGATTCTAAATATGCTTTCGGAGTAGTTCATGTCCATGGAGCACTTTGGAGAGAGAGGGGGCTTCTCACTTCTCAGGGGTCGACAATTAAACATCGTGAAGAAGTTCTACAATTACTGGAAGTAATACACAAACCGTCAGCCGTGGCTATAATGCATGTCAAGGGACATCAGACAGACCCAGGACGAGAATTCCAGGGCAATCGGCGGGCTGATCAAGCAGCTAAACGGGCTGCGAGAGAAGTATGGACTCAAATGGCACTGTTACCAGTTCGGAATAATCCTGCTATGACATATATGGAAGAAAAACCACATTATTCACCAGAAGACGAAAAGCTAGCCCAAATGATGGAAGCCAGGAAAAACCTTAAAGGATGGTATATTACTTCCACAGGACAAGTCATTCTACCAGTAAGAATAATGAAGACAGTGCTCGAAATAGAACATAATAAGTGCCACTGGGGTGCAGAAGCATTGGTGAAATTTCTGAAAAACGAAGTTTTCTCAAATCAGATGTTAACGTTGGCAAAAAGGGTGAATGCAATGTGTCCGATGTGTATTAAAAATAACCCAGTAGTAAGGAAACAGGTACAAATGGGGAAGATACAGATAGGGCAATTACCAGGAGATTATTGGCAAATAGATTTCTCTCAATTGCCCAAGGCTCAATCTTACAAATATCTGTTGGTTTATGTCTGTACCTTTTCAGGGTGGCCAGAGGCCTTTCCATGTAGAACCGATCAGGCTAAGGAGGTAATTAAAACTTTACTGAGAGAAATCATTCCGAGATTTGGAGTACCTTTAGGAATGTCCTCTGACCGGGGAACACACTTCACAGCAGAAATAGTGCAGGGAATATCAACTATATTGGGAATAACCTGGAATCTCCATACTCCATGGAGGCCGCAATCTAGTGGACAAGTAGAAAGAATGAATCAGACACTAAAGGGTCAATTAAAGAAAATCACTCAGGAGGCTAAGATTCCATGGCCTCAAGCTCTACCCCTAGCCTTGTTAAGAATTAGGATTAAACCAAGGGAAAGAATAGGAGTAAGTCCGTACGAAATATTGTATGGCAAGCCTTATCATGCAGCTACCTATCAAGGGGATCCTCATGTGGTGGGGGATCAAGCAGTGTTTAACTATGTGTTGTCTTTAAACAAAACTCTCACAGCTCTCAGGGGAGTACTGCAGTGGAATCGGCCTCTGCCCCTGGAGAATCCAGTTCATGACATTTCTCCAGGAGATCAAGTCTATGTGAAAAACTGGTCGGTGGAACCATTAAAGGAAACATGGGACGGTCCTCACCAGGTGATAATGACCACTTACACGGCGGTGAAGGTCGAAGGAATCAACAATTGGATCCATTACACCCGGATCAAGAAGGTTCCAGTCTCGTGGTCGGTAGAACCTCTTTCCCCTACAAAACTGGTATTTCGGGCTACAAACTGAGAATCCTGATTTTTCTGGAATTAATGAGTTTAGTTGAAACATTCGTGAGAATTGAAACCCCAGATCCTTATTTGCTTGTACCAGAAAATACTGATGTAAATTTAACATGTTTGTTTTCTGATGACCAGGGAGTTGGATCGAGCGAGGTGAATGTGAAATGGCGGTGGAGAGAACAAGACCAAATTATGACAGAAGGAGTGACGATGGTTTGGAATGTGACACAACAAAAGGGTTATACCACCCTGCAGGTACCCAAAGTGTCTAAAACCATGGAAGGGACATACATTTGTGTACTTTGGATTTGGGAAAGTTTTGATTATGGAAACATAGAAATACAGACCTTAAATGTAACTCGAGAACTGGCAACCAAAGTATATGTCATACCTACCAGGCAACAGGTGGACATGTGGGATGGACCTCCTTTAAAGATTAATTGTACCTTTAGGTTTGATGACCCCTGTAGGAAAACCGTTCGAGTGAAGTGGTGGAAATTAAATACAACAGACCAATCCTGGAAAGTGCAAACTCAAGGAGTAAGCTGGTGGTCAAATAGCGAAGGAGGTAGAGGATGGTTAAACATTTCAGATCCCAGGATTGGAAAGACAGAAGGAACCTTTCTTTGTGTAGTTACTTGTGGAAATGAAGGAAATTATGGAATAAGGACAGTGGCAGCTATACCTCCCCGAAGATTAGAAATTAAGCCGGAACATGGGGCCTACTCAGCGGTAGAGGGAAAAGATTTAATTTTGAATTGTAAGACTGAAGGGAAGCAGTACTTAGAGTATGGGTGGTGGTTCAGAGGACGAAATTTGAAATCGGGAGGAAAATATCAAATTGAAAAACGGAAAGAGGCCATAGTTTTAATAATTAAAGAAATACAAAGAGGAGAAGACGAAGGTCAATATATTTGTTGGATAAGTGAAGACGATTGGTGGGATGCTGGAACTACTACTGTTTATGTTAGAATTGAAAGGATAACCCGGCAAGCAGGTAACCTGCAAATTCCAGATAGAGAAGTAGAACAAGAAAACTTAGTCGTAGGCCTAATTCGTGATTTTGGGAGAGTACAGAATGTCACAAAAATTACTGCATGTCTCCCTATGCCTCATGCTGCAGGAGACCCAATCCCATGGGGAATAATTCCAGTGCCAGAAATTCCTAAAATGTTTAAGAATACTACATGGAATTGCAGATTTGTAACCAAAACATGGAATGAAAAGATAGAGACATGCTTGTTGAGTGATGAAATGACCCAAGAAAAGTGTAAACAAATGCCTGGATATTTCAAATGGGTAGTAGTTGGAAAGTGGGTAACAAAAGAAAACGTTGACAAAATAAAAGGATCTTGTTTAGTTATAGATTCAAAAATACACCCATGTTCTAAAATTCCAGCTGAGATAAAACGAGAAAAACAAGAAGAAGTATGTCAAAATATTACCAGCTCTACAACCATGGAAGAGTGGCAAACGATTTGGGGACCCAGTCTACTAGAGACTTATAGTTACATTGGAGAGGTACAGTGGTGTATTCATTGGAAAGGAAAAAGGAATCAAACTTATTCTGCAGGAAATAGAGGAGATCATAATTGGAGGACAGAGGCACGTACAAAGAAAAATTGGAATTGTACCAAGGTATATACTTGTGACACACCTGATGATGAAATAGGACTAGTACCGGTCAGGACCCTTTTGCAGTTAGGATGTGAATGTCGGGGATATAATCATACTATTAAGGGATCTGTGAAAAATATTGATTGTCGTACTACCACAGTTAGGAGCCCAGGAAATTTGGTGTGGGTAATGGGACATGGCCAGTGGACCACCCACATGCCAATAAATGGTCCAGTTGTACCTGTCACGCTAGGGATACCTACTCTCTGTCCATTCTGGAAACAGGATAAGTTAACATCAGTAGAAATACAACCACGGAAAAAAAAAGAAATTAGTAAAAATATTGATGACTTAGGGTTGGGAGATTGGCATGAACCATCAGCAGGAGTTAAATTTGGATGGGTATTGGAATCTTTGTTTGCGCCTATCTCGACTTATCGAAATAGGGAAATGTTGTTCAAATTAATGGGCCAAACCGAAAGATTAGCTGCTGTGACTAAGAAAGGATTTAAAGATTTAAATTTGCAATTGCAAGCCACTACCAGAATGACAGTACAGAATCGAATGGCTTTAGATCTAATCCTATTGAAAGAACACGGAGTCTGTGGGTACCTGCATGCAAAGGACGAGCATTGTTGTGTACACATCCCAAATGTCACTCAGGAAGTAGAAAAAGATATTAGTCAATTGGAACAAATTGATGAGAATGTTCATGAACTACAAAAGGAAGCAGAACACAATTGGATAGGAGAATTATTCAGCTCCCTAGGTCTTCATGTGTCAGGATGGATATCTTCCGTTATCCAGTACGGAATATTGATTGTAATAATTATTGTCATAGCCATAACCGTTTATAAGTGTCTTTTAGGAATGATTGTAAAAGAAGGTCAACATACGAGACGCATCATGAAAGCTATAACAAGAAAAGAAGTAATCTCACCGCACGAAGAACCATCTCCCACCCATCAAGAAACGAGAGCCTGATGTGATTTGAGCATCCTTGCAAATTGGAAGATTGAAGGATGCTCAAAAGGGGGGACATGTTGCAGAGCAATTTAAATTAGTAGTAGAATAGCTAAGGCTTAGTA